AGCTTAGAACAAAAACTGTGGGGTTGGAAACAAAATGCGAGTGGACTCGTCCTGACAAAATGAATGATGTATATGAATGTAAGATAAGAAATGTTATTAGGATGATCGAGCAGGGAAGAGAAGAGAAGATACTGTTAGAACTCAAAATCCTAACTACCACCGCTCGGTCTCAGTCATGCATCGCTCGGTCTCGGTCATGCACCGCTCGGTCTCGGTCTCGGTCATGCCTCACTGGAAATGCATCCTAATAGTAAAAGCTCCATTCAGGATGCACAACTCAATGCAATTGAAGTTTTCAAAATCAATAATGTGTAGTCTCGCTGAACCGAACCCAGACCCTCTTCCACAAACCCTTAATAAACAAATCTCAAAGAAGAAAAATAGCGGCACCAAGAGACCCCTTCCTACTGAAGTTGCTGGTGTGGTTTCCGGTGTCGTTTTCCTCTCCCTTATCATCGTTTTGTTTCTCATCAAACGCAGAAAGAACGTCTCTGTCAACAAGGGTCCCAATAAAAAATATGGAACTTCTCTGGGCAGTGGCTCATCGTCGCTACCCACCCACCTCTGCTGCCACTTCTCAATAGCGAAAATCAGAGCAACAATCAACAACTTCGATAAACTCTTAGTCGTTGGCGTGAGAGGCTTTGGTAACGTGTGAACAGAGACTCTTCTGTAGTGAACGGAGACTCTCGAGAAATTACACCTCCAGCGGTGCAGAAGCCACAAGCAGAGAGCTTTGGAGAGGGAGGGTCGATCGCCGGTGAGACTTTTCCCATGTGGTAGGCGTCGTGGAGCGGGTTCTCAACAATAACGACAACCTTTGGGTAATTGTTAAAGATTGACTGGATTTACACGTTTCAGAAAAAAAGAAAAGTGATATGGTTCGCCGTTTGCCATATCAAAGAAAACTTAACGCCGTTCAATTTTAAGAACTAAAAATAAGAGTTTTAAAACTAAGAGGATGAAAATGAACAAACATTTCAAAGAGGGATGAAACCCAAAATCGCTTGATAGTTTAGGAACTAAAAACATATTTAACCATTTTTAATAAATAATTATTTTTAAATTAAAATAATTAACTTATCAATTTTTCATTTTCATTAATTTTTTAAAATTTAATTATTTTTTATTTGTTATATTTAAGTTTAATTATTTTTTAAAATTTAAAATAATGATTATAATAAAAAATTATCTACAAAATAAACATAATTTATTTTTATCATAAAAATGATTTCTATTTACTTTTATAATTATAATTTTATTATTTTTTGGAATTATAAAACAGTGTAAAAACACATGCACCCATGTGATTTTACTCCTATAATCTTACTAGTATAATAGTATATAAGTATAAATTTACTGTGGAAATAAAAACATATTACCTACAAATTTATCATCAATTGGCTATTTCAACTCATTTTCGAACTTTTTTTCATCCTTAACAAATATTTATTTTAAAATTATATACAGCACGTGTATCATGTTTACATAGATAATATATTTTTTATTTTAGTTCAAAATTCGATTTGTCGAAAATCGATTCTTGATATCCATTTTTTTGTAATAGTAGTGAAATACTAGTCAGAATTCGGAAATAGAATTCTGAATTAATTTTTTAATTTTATAATTATTTTGAATTTTATTCAAATAAAAAGAGAAGGAAAAATAAAAAAAATTATAAATTTTTGTAATAAAAAGATATGTATTTATATGTTTGAATTTTTTTAAATTATTTTGTAATTTTGTATAGTTTTCAATTTATTTAAATTATTAATTTTTATGACTTTGATTTATTAAAGATTAGGAGTTGAGAATAAAAATTAGTAAGAATTATTTAATTTTTGAATTCTTTTATGTGTAATTGATTAAATTTAATAAAGAAAATTTGTATTTAATTATACATTTTCAATTTTATTATCACAGTAGCTCAAATTAAAAAAAATTATAAAACATAAATAAAATTAAAACAACTTTTACACTTATATATATATATATATATAAGGACTGAGAAATTTTCAGAGAAAGTGGGGAAGACAGGTGTATGCATTTGACTGGACCGACCGGTTTTGACGATAGTATATAAATGGACTTTTCAAAATTTCGTGTCATTATCTGCATGTACTTCTTCTCTCCAAACTTCTGAGCTTTTCCTTTCTCCTCCTTCTTTCTACAAATTCTCTCTACAAATTCTCACATTTTCTTCATCTGATCATTAATCAGGTCGTGCCTGAGCTTTCCTAGTGCCAAGAGCTTCTCTTTTAACCGATCAAGTTGTTGTTTTCGAGTTGGTAAGTTCAATTCCTTTATCCTTTGAGGTTCCTGCATTTTCTGTTACATGCAAGCACTGTTCAGCTTGCATGTGTTCATCAACTACTCCTCTCAATCTGTTTTCTGTCTTGATCCTCTGGTCGGTTCCTTTTCACCGATCAGAAATTTGTAGGCTGCCTTAGAAGTTAGTCACTTGCGGGTTAGGCAAGACGATGGAAGTGTAGAATTTGTCTGGTTAATTCAAGGTAAGGAAAGCTAAATAATTTAACTTGTATGTTTATATGTTTGTAATGAATTGTATGATTGATTGAAATGCATGTTGAATTTCTGTTTTTGATTGAATATGAGGACTGAACTCTGTGAACTGGATTTGCAGAGTATTATGCAGAAAAAGTGTTCGGCCAATGTCAAATTGAGGAAGTGAGAGGGTGAAAATGAGAGTTTGAGGTTGAGAGTGATTTTTGGCAGTGAGATGAGTGTGAACAAGTGCATTGTAACCTATTAGAATCAGGTTTGGAGGATTAGAAGAAAAATATTTGGTTTTGGGTAAATTTTAGTGTTCTTCGTAATTCTGCAGAATTTTGCAGAATTATGCAGAAAGCGGAGTGTGCACGTTTGGTCGTTCGGTCTTGGTTAAGCGATCGGTCTTATACTAGCAGTTATACTAGTGATATCGCTCGGTCTTATACTAGTAGTTATGCTAGTGTTAGCGCTTGGTCTTACACTAGCAATTATTCTAGTGGTAGCGCTCAGTATTATATTAGTATTTGGTTTAGTCTTGGTATTTAGCCTAGTTTTAGTACTCAACTTTAATATAGTGTTAGGCTTTCCCTAGTTGTCGGCCTTTGCCAGTGTTTGGTCAATTGTTATGTCTTGTCTGTTATATACCGTTCAATTCTGTCCTGGGGTGGTGATAAATTGTTCGGTCTCCATCTTTCACAGAGTTTTCAGTCTCTTGAGTGAGTATATGATTGATGAATGACATGCTATATTAATTGATGAGAATTATGTTTTTAAGTAATGTGGAAGAGAATTCCAAAGCGGAATGTCTCATGGATGGTTATTGAATTGTAAAGTATGAATGTGGATATCGTGCTAAGCTGGTGTTTATCCTGATATTATGTGATTACTCATTCTCAAGTAGAGAGGAGTAACTCATGTGTGAGAATGGCAGAAGGTCCTTTAACCTGAGGTATCGAGGTAATATTCACTGGACTTACCTTGTGGGGTAGCTTGATGGGTGTCTTCTTGTTTCACCACCACAAGTGCAGAAACACCTGTAGCTACACATTCATACAATCCGGAGGGTCAAGTCAGGTGTTCGATCTATGCATGAATTATGGTGTTCGGTCATAATTACTTGAGTATTTGATTTGTATATGTTTGTTTGTATTCGGTTTTGGTATGTTGTAGTGTTCGGCCTTGCATGTTTTGGACTTGTACGAAATGTATGTATGTATATAAAAATAAATTACATTAGCTTACCCTTATTTCCTATTTTTGTCCATGTTCCTGTTCGTTTTTTTCTCTCTTGCAATGATCACCTTTGGGTGTGAGCAGAGGTAGAGGAGTGCTCGGTGGACCAAGCTTTGGAGGAAGAAGAAAGACCAGCCGTTTAGTAATAATTTACTGTTTAATCTTGTTAATAGTTTTATATGAACCGTTCGATTATAATCCTAATTTGGTAATAACCGTTCGGATTATGCACATAGTTTTGGAATAGTGTAGGATTTTTGTAAAATTTTAAACTTTATGGTTATTTTGTAATAACTACAAGATTAACTTTATTTTCCGTGACTATTCTAATATGATAACTCCTTTATATAGTTTTATGCTATATATTTTTGGATATTACATTTTATAAACATATCATTTCACAAAATCATATTATAAATAATTTTAAAGAATTATTACAAAATTAATAAAGACAAATTATTAAACATTTTATTTCTTAATACAATTTTTCTTTACTAATTTTTATTCTCAACTCTAAATATTTCAAAAATCAAAATCAGAAAAATTAATATACGAAATTACAAAAACAACTTAATTTTTTTTTCAAACATATAAATATATATATTCTCATTACAAAAACTTATAATTTTTTATTTTTCTTTTACTAAATCAAAATCAGAAAAATTAACAATTTAAATAAATTGAAAACTATACAAAATTACAAAAACAACTTCAACAAAAAATTTCAAACATATAAATTCATATCTTCTTATTACAAAAACTTTTAATTTCTTTTACTTATTTTTATTCTCAACTCCTAATCTTTAATAACCATTTAAATCAATTGAAAATTATACAAAATTAAAAAAACAACTTCAAAAAAAAAAAAAAATTCAAACAAATAAATACATATTTTCTTATTATAAAAATTTATAATTTCTTTACTTTTCCTTCTCTTTATATTTTAATAAAATTCAAAATAAAAATAAAATTAAGAAATTAAGAATTCTATTCCTAATGAACCGAATTCTAACTAATATTTTGGTCACATTAAAAAAAATAAAGATGAGAATCCCATTTCTAAAAAAATCAAATTTTGAACTAAAATAAAAAATGAATTATCTTTATAACTATGGTGCAGAATACTTATATAGGTAATTTTAAAATGAACAGGAAAAAAAAAATCTTCCATTTCCTTTGTCTGCTGGTATTATTGTGAAGAGAAGTTCCTCTCCAAGGGTGTGACCTGGAAAAGACTGAAGGTGAAAAGGTATGTGCAATTATCAGAGAAGACACTAAAACTAAGAAGAAAAGAGAGAATGAAACCAAACTGCTCTCAGCAAATTCATTTATCCTTTCTTCTTCAACTATCTTTAATTCCGTCGTCACCGTAAGTCTCCACTCTTCTTCTTCACTTCAAAATCAGTACCTGAAAAATTATGCTATTCCTGCTTCCTTAACTAAATCTCCTTTTATTCTCTTTTTTCAATCCAAAGCTGTTAACTTTATATGATTTTAGTGTTACCCTCCTTTTAATTTTCCTTAGTTTTTTTTTTCTTTTTGTTAATGTTGATATTAATATTTAGGGTTTTATTTTCCCTTTATCAGAATCTCTCTGTCCGCGAGCATCTTTAAGTGCCGGGACTTTTTCTGAGGTTTTTTCTTTGGAAGATTGCGAGTTTTGGGTTCTTTTTTGCAATTGGTAATTTGGTTATGCTGTTGCTGCTTTTTCTTCAATTGAGTATATTTGATTTTCATTTTCAGTTACGAAGTTGTGTTGTTCAATGATGAATTATATAGGTTAGTAGGAGGATTGGTTGTGTTTTTCTCTTCTGAAAAAATCTTCTCATTGAATTTGAGGGGGCTGTTAGTATACTATAGTGGACGAGCTCCACTAAATCTATTTTCTTTCTCCCTTTCTTACTCCTGTGTTGATTCATTGCTGCCAATACAGCATTGTTTGATTATGAAGTCCCTCTTATTCTAGTTTGCAGGGAGCTACAGGAACAGAGAATAGACATACATGGGGTTTCCCCTACTTTCTTCTGCATTATGGAATCCTTCTCCTAGCTGTGAGTTATGCTTTTCTCTTAATTTAATTTTGTTATATTTTACTTTTAACAATATTCTTGGATACCATCCAAAAGGGAAGCAACAACCACTCTCTATCTTGTTTTAATGTGATTTTATATTTGCTATCTTGTTTTAATGTGATTTTATATTTGCAGGTTGTTCCTCTAGTGTGGAGCTTATCTGGCCCCACCTATCTTCTAAGTCATGTTGTCTTGGGTTGAAGGTTGATTTTACTTTTCTCCCATTTATTTTTACCTAATAATGTACATATTTCTAGAATCATATTGGTTCATTCCTCGAATGGAATTAGGTGTCCAAGCCTAGGGGAAGGGTCACATTAAATTAAGCTGTTGATATTGGCCAGCCAATAATATTATTATTATATTTGCGTAATGTGTGTGACTGATATGGTTTCAGTCTCTGTCTTTTGGAGTTCTCTAATCTGAAGATTACATCTTCATTTTATATGGTTGGCTTTTATTGTGATGGTTGTTGCTGTTTGTCTCTGAGGTTATTATAGACAGTTTAGATGTTTATAAAGCGTTAGCTGCAGATCAGTGATTTATGTTAGGACTATCTTTAAGCTGTAGTTCTTGGTTGGTATTACTGTTAGAATTTCCTGGAATACCTTCTATGTTGTTTCAAGGGGTGTCCCGGTATTTCACTTTTTTGTTTTAACCTTTTCTAGTTATTCAATGCAATTTGTTGTTCGTCAATTGAACTTGCTTCTTGTGCTTAAAGGCAGAGTTGTAATAGTCTCGTATCTAATTGCAAAAGTTGTTAATCTCTACACAATATTGTGGGGAATACAAGGTTAGGTCCTGTGCACTTTCATTATTCTCAATCCTCCCTCATATTCCTAATCTACTAGTTCCAACTTCCCCGTGTGAATTGCAATGAGTTCTTTTGGATAAACCTTTTAGAAAATATGATTCATTTCTAATGTATGGATACTAGTCACTTATGTGATATATATATATATATATATATATATCTGGAAATTAGGTTAAATGGAAATTGATATGTTTATTACAAAGAGATCATACAAGATATATACGGGAGACCTAAGCTATTTTAGGAAATATAATAACTATATTCTATTCTAGAATCCCTTGATTTATGGGATTGTCCCTATTTATTCAAATCTGTACTGATTACAATAAAATATATACTTGTTATGAAATACACAAATTTCCTAATTTATTCTTTCCTAAAATACTATTTGATTTCCCACACTCCCCCTCAAGCTGGTGAATAGATGTTTTCCATTCCCAGCTTGGATACAATCTTCTCAAAATTGTGGCAGCCCAGCCCCTTGGTAAGAATGTCTGCAATTTGATCTTGAGAGGACACATATGGAGTGCATATCAAGCCACTATCAAGCTTTTCTTTGATGAAGTGTCTGTCCACTTCAATATGCTTTGTTCTATCATGCTGCACTGGATTGTGGGCTATGCTGATTGCTGACTTATTATCACAATAGAGCTTCATAGGTTCTTCCCATTTTATCCTCAAGTCTTCTAAGATGATTTTAAGCCATAGCAACTCACATATACCTTGTGCCATGGCTCGGAATTCCGCTTCAGCACTGGACCGAGCCACTACACCCTGCTTTTTNATATAAAGGATGCGTGTTTGTAACGCTAGTGGGCAAGATTCTCAAATTTTTTGTAGTCTAATTTTCTTGAAATCCATTTTGTGTTCGTAATAGTATATTGTGGTCTTAATCCTACTGATCAGCCGTAGAAAATTCTGAGGGACTTTGCTGTAATCCTCTGTCTGACATTGAAGAAAGTATTTTCAAGTCTTCTAAATATATTGTTGTCCTTTTGTTTTTTCTTTCCAAACATCTTTGTTGGAACTTACAGTTTAGTTTTGTTTATGTTGCAGTTTAAGTGCCAACAATTTTACAAAGGTAGATCAACAATGCTGGGAGTTTTAGTTTGTTCTAGTCGAAGGCCCACAAGCAAAGAAACTGTGTGGAGACGAAAAATATTACCACAAAATGAGGATTTACCGCCAATTTTACCAAAGAATAAGAAAAAACCCTACCCAATTCCCTTTAAGGAAATACAACAGGCTGCAAGGGAGGACAAGAAACTTGCGCAGATGGGAATAGAGAAACCTCTTGAGCCTCCGAAGAATGGATTGCTTGTTCCAGACCTAGTTCCTGTTGCTTATGAAGTGTTTGAAGCTTGGAAGCTTTTGATTAAAGGTCTTGCCCAGCTCTTGCATCACATTCCTGTACATGGCTGTAGGTAGATTATATTATATTTTTTAATAAATGTCTCAGTTTCTTTGCATTTGTTTAGTTGATACAAGAGTTATATTCTAACCAATTGAATTCATGCAGCGAATGCTCAGAAGTTCATGTAGCTCAAACTGGTCACAACTTTCGGGATTGCTCTGGTCCCAGTGGTAGGGAGCGTCGGAGTTCTCATGCTTGGGTAAAGGGTTCAGTCAATGATATACTTGTCCCAATCGAGTCCTATCATCTTTTTGACCCCTTTGGTAGGCGTATTAAACATGATACACGATTTGAATATGACCGGATTCCAGCCATTGTTGAGTTATGCATACAAGCTGGTGTTGATATCCCAGAATATCCTTCACGCCGAAGGACCAATCCCATACGGATGTTAGGGAAGAGAGTAATTGACAGAGGTGGAAATTTAGAGGAACCTAAACCATGGCGCTTTGCAGACCCCTCTTCACTCAATGATTTCGATACATACAGAGCTTTTGAACGATTTTCTCGACCATCATTGTCAGATCTACCTAAAATTGCCAAAGAAACAATGGCTGCATATGAAATTGTGAAAAAGGGTGTCAGGAAGTTGATGAGGAAGTACACTGTGAAAGCGTGTGGTTATTGCACTGAGGTTCATGTGGGGCCATGGGGCCACAATGCTAAGCTTTGTGGTGAATTTAAGCACCAATGGAGGGATGGGAAACATGGTTGGCAGGATGCTACTGTGGATGAAGTTTTCCCTCCAAATTATGTGTGGCATGTGAGAGACCCTAATGGGCCTCCTTTGGCATCTGCACTAAGGAGATATTACGGAAAGGCTCCGGCTGTTGTTGAAGTGTGCATGCAAGCAGGTGCACAGATACCATATGAGTACAAGCCCATGATGAGGCTTGACGTTATAATTCCGGACCCTGAGGAGGCAAGAATGATTGCATGATGTGATCTGAAAGGGCAGCTATCTTCGTCTGTCATTATACATGCATATTGTGTGATCCTGGCGTGAGAATGCATTCAATGATCTACCAGAAGGGGAGGCCTTGAGATCAATCTTCAATATTACGTATCGGATTTATTTATTAGGTGCTAGATTCCCATATATCCAATGTTAGTCTACATGTATACAAAGCCAACAGTAGAGCAAGTAGGTTTTATCAGATAACTTTGGTTCGCCAGTTTGTAAAATGTCTTAAACTAGCGAAAAGTTGGTAGAAGTTCAATGCATGTGTTAATTTATTTTGTCACAGTTACATTATAGTCAGATGAGCTTTTTGTTGCATTTTCTACCGTCATAAAAGTTCCCTCGTTCACAACCCTTCAATTAGTAGTAGGGCAAGTCCGTGGTTCTCACATAAAATCTAACTGTAATGATTTTCATTGTAAGAGAAAAGTGATTCTTAGACACGAAATAAGAATTTCTCCCCTCCAACATACAACTTAATGATGTAACATGCTGTAAGTTGGCGTTCCCTCTTGAAATATCTACGTTGGGTCAGAATTCAGGAGGATTATCTAGCTTGTATTGATTTCTTAACCATTTCAATCTTTACTTCATCCTTCTTTGTGTTAGTTGAATACCACAGGAATTAAAATCAATACAATGGCTAGGGATCAGCAGGGCTTGAAAATATTTTATAATGTACTGAAATAAGGCTTCTCAAATCCCTTTTTTCTCTCCTTCCAACATATATTCACTGCTTTCGTTACTTATTAATAGTGGTTCGTGTATGTGCTTTCTATTTATTTTCTAATTGTTTGACTACGTGGACTCCAGTTAAGACCAATGTTTTATATCTTATGTGGTTTTAATAAATCCTTAAGATTAGTTCACTGGCTAGAGCATTGTGATTGCTATTATAGAAGCAAAAAGTCAAATTTGAATATTCTAAAATATACTGATTATGATGTTTTAAAATATACTAAACTTTTTTTAATATACCAACATTAGAATATTTTGAAAGTTTAGCAGAAAATCCAACGAAAAAAGTAAAAATAAAGATAAAAGTCCAAATAATGGATACCAAAACTACAGAATAGAACAGAGCACAATAGGTAATAAAAATATATATTATGTTATTGAAAAAATAGGAAAATCAAAAGGAGAGAAACTCCAATTCCCATAACAGAGCTCCTAAACAGAGAAATCAATATTTTATATCCCAAAACCTAGGTTTTTGACCGGGAAGTCAATGAGCAATGAGATGTGAGTCCAATCTTATAAGTAGTTGACACCATTCTTCACCAAAAACCTTAAGACAATGAGTTAATGGGTCTTCCTTCTTCTAAACCACTCTACTTTCTCATTTCTCTCCAATGTGGGACTTAGACTCACACTTGGATTCCCAACAATTTTATACCCCTGCCAGCTCTGCATCCTTACATTATGCCTTTCTTCCTTCTCCTTCTCACGTATCTTTGCATAAGGATCAGTGAACATAATATCTTCATCGCTACTTTCCTGCTTGAATACATGGATTCCGCTTTTTATAGGCATTGAGGCTGCTTTCGATCAAAATATATAACCTTCACATGGTTCCATTCATTCTCTAAAGGCACTTCATACAGATTGTTGGTGAAAATTAAATTTCGTAGATCGAAAAGAAATGTGTGTCCTACTCCCAACTTCAAGAACTTGAGCCTATCAAAGAAACATACAAAAACTTTGTCATTGATGACCAACATGACTTTAACATAATCACTAATGTCTCCATCCTTCGGTGCAACAAAAAGACAAAGAACTTTGCCAGGGAATTTGTTGCGAATCCAGAAAGAACTTGAAGGTTCATTACTTAAGCAATTGAACCATTTAGGGTTCCTAGATCCTGGCAAAACTAACATGGTTTTTCGATTCTCATACAGATCCTGTCAATCAAAAAGAAATTCATAAATTTACAATCATTAGGTACACAATATGTTATTAAATAAAAATACATAAAAAACAAGACAAAACCTAGTTTAGGAACATGCTTATACTCGAGGGTGTCAGCGATAAACAGTTTGTTGCGTTGAAATGTTTCAACTTTGGTGGGATTCCTCTGATTTCCCGAAGATGCTTGCAACAACTCACGTCAAGCTTTTTTAAAAATTGACATTCTTTGATGCATTCAGGAAGCTGTGTGAAATTATTGTTCGATAGGTCTAAATCTTTCACATGAGCAAACCGTGTGAAACCTATTTGAAAAAAATCATCACGCAGGTTGCATTTTGGCGCCCAAAGCAATTCTACTTTTGAAGATACCATTGAGCCATCTTTTTCTTCGTCCTCTTCCCACTTTATCCACTGCCACCCTTCCCATCCCCAAGCCTCAATAAGTGTCAGTTCTGGCATCATGACAATGCTGCTTTGTAACTGAACAATTCCACAGAATAGCAGGGACAACTTTTTAAGCCGAGTTAGATTTTGAAATGAAAGTGGCAACCCTTTTATGAGAGTTCCTAGCAACCGAAGTTCCCTTATGTTTTCCATCTTTCCTATAATTTCTGGAAACCTCTCAAGACTAGAACAATGTGAAAGTTCAAGTTTTTCAAGAGAAGTCAACTTCAGGGGTGGAAAATTCCTAAGCTTGATGCAACCAGAAGCTTCCAATATCCTCAGTTTCTCCAGCAAACCAACCGAATTATGAACTCTAACTAAATTTACACAATTTTGAAATGAAAGTTCCTCCAAATTTTGGAGATCAGATACGGCATCAGGTATCTGAGTTAAACCTTCACAGCAGTCAAAATTCAAAACCCGTAGATTCCTGAGCTTCTGCAAAGAAAAGGAGAGAATACAAAGAAGGAAGGTGTGAGTAACCTTAAATGACATAAAGAGACTATGGGGTAACTTGCAAGACGTGGAGAGTGTACAATGTAAACTTGCCTTGCTTAATCCATCCATCTCAAATGACATAAAGAGACTATGGGGTAACTTGCATATTGCAAGCTGTTTTGGTTGAAAATAAGATGGTAAACAATGTGAAGGATATCTCCACCATTCCAACACTCTCAAACTATTTGGAAAACATTTGGGATCATCAGAAAATATTCCAATTCTAATAATAAGTGTTTTGAGGTTTTGCATCTTCTGGAAAGCCATCCCATTCCATTCTACCATTTTCTTTTCAAACAAGGGGAAATCCAGACATATGATTTTAATTTCACTTGTTCCCTGTGAACGTAGAAGGCTTGAATCAGGCAAAAATTACAATGCAAGTATATACAAGACTTAAATACATTTAGAAAAAGTTCACTCACAGTGTTGTCTTCCAAAACTTGGATTATATCTTTTGGTGACCATAACCTACTGCGCTTCCCTGGTTCTTCTGGTGACTCTTGTCTGACAATTTCCTTACCCATGTCCTCTACCAAGTCATGCAATGTAACACAATCATACTGACCAATCTTTATGAGAGATTTTTCAGCCAACACGCCAATATGATATTTCATACAAGCACCATGATGAGCATGAAGTATATCTTCAACTTCGGTTAATTTATATCCTTTGAAGCAACAAGAAATGTCAAGAAAAACTCTCTTCTCTTCTTCCTGCAAAGCATCGAAGCTTACTTTAAGAGTCTCTTGGATTCGATTGTTTGGAATTCTTTTATATTGATCTATGACAGATTTGCATTCTTGTATACTTTTTCCACACAGGTTGGCACCTATTACTTCCAAAGCCAATGGAAGGCCACAAGCATAAGTTACTGCACGATTAAGCACCTCCTCGTATTCTGGATAAACTTGTTCTGATTTGAAAACTTTCCATGTAAGCAATTGAAGAGCATGGTTCTTATTTAATTTCTTCACCTTATATGTTTTTTGAACATTATGAGATGCCAGCAGTTGTTTGTCCCGAGTGGTGATGATGACTTTGCTTCCAGGACCAAAACAGTCAGGCCTTCCAACAAGTGTCTGCAACAGCTCATGTTTGTCAACATCATCTAAAATCAAAAGAAGCCTCTTGTTTTGGAGCCTGTGTTGTATCATTGAAATTCCTTGTTGCTCACTTGCAAACATAATTCTCTTATCTCCAAGTATTTCGGAAAGAATGATGCTTTGAAGATGTTCCAATCCGTGTTTGCGTGATTTCTCTCTCACATTTTGAAGAAAACAGGAACCATCAAAATGGCTAGCAATCAAATTATAAACTGCTGAAGCAAGTGACGTTTTCCCTATCCCTCCCATTCCATAGATCCCTATCATGAGGACACCATCACTAGATCCTACATCCAAAAGCTTCATTACTTTTAACTCTTGTGAGTCTAATCCAACCGGGTAATCCGCCACATGTAAAGGAGTACGATTAATCTCACTAGAGACCCACTCAACAATCTTCCCAATAAACTTGTATTCATATCCTTCTCTGTTCCAAACACAAGTTTAAGAGCTATGTTTGAATGAATTTCTAGAAAAAGAAAATAAGAAAGTACAACGAAATAAACTTCTCTATAAATTAAAACAATTTATGTATAAGATTTGTAAAAGTTTCTCATTGAACTTTCCCAAAATCAGATTTTGAACTTTTGTATAAGCTAGTTTTAACTCAGTGAGAACGTTTTTCTTCATTTAAAAGTGACTAGGGAGAGATTAAGCTGAAAAGCCCTTAAGCAAGAATAAAAAGTTGTCAAGGTTAGCACTAATCTATATTCTCTTTAGATCATAGGAGCAGTGAAACTTAATGAAACAAAGAATGGAATAAAAAATTGGTGAGGTGGGTACCCATATTTGTAATGAAAGCCAGACAAGTTAGCTACTTGATGAAGAGCCATCTTCCATTTCTCCAACTTCTCCATGTGATGGTTTAACCTCTCCTTATTATCAGCTTTGAGCCTTTCCTCATGCCAAGCCAATGCTTCGCCAAAACTTCCTTTTTGGTGCCTCACAAAAGAAGGATCCACGTCATAAAAAACTGGCAAAACCAGCAACTTTTTTTCCTCAGCACGNTGGTTCCATTCATTCACTAAAGGCACTTTATACAGATTGTCGGTGAAAATTAAATTTCGTAGATCGAAAAGAAATGTGTGTTCTGCTCCCAACTTCAAGAACTTGATATCAAAGAAACATGCATAAAATTTGTCATTGATGACCAACATGAGTTTAACATAATCACTAATGTCTCCATCCTTCGGTGCAACAAAAAGACAAAGAACTTTGCCGGGGAATTTGTTGCGAATCCAGAAAGAACTTGAACGTTCATAACAAAAGTAATTGAACCATTCAGGTTTCCTAGATCCTGGCAAAACTAACATGGTTTTTCGATTCTCATACAGATCCTGTCAATCAAAAAGAAATTCATAAATTTACAATCATTAGGTACACCATATGTTATTAAATAAAAATACATAAAAAACAAGACAAAACCTCGTTTAGGAACATGCTTATACTCGAGGGTGTCAGCGATAAACAGTTTGTTGCGTTGAAATGTTTCAACTTTGGTGGGATTCCTCTGATTTCCCGAAGATGCTTGCAACAACTCACGTCAAGCTTTTTTAAAAATTGACATTCTTTGATGCATTCAGGAAGCTGTGTGAAATTATTGTTCGATAGGTCTAAATCTTTCACATGAGCAAACCGTGTGAAACCTATTTGAAAAAAATCATCACGCAGGTTGCATTTTGGCGCCCAAAGCAATTCTACTTTTGAAGATACCATTGAGCCATCTTTTTCTTCGTCCTCTTCCCACTTTATCCACTGCCACCCTTCCCATCCCCAAGCCTCAATAAGTGTCAGTTCTGGCATCATGACAATGCTGCTTTGTAACTGAACAATTCCACAGAATAGCAGGGACAACTTTTTAAGCCGAGTTAGATTTTGAAATGAAAGTGGCAACCCTTTTATGAGAGTTCCTAGCAACCGAAGTTCCCTTATGTTTTCCATCTTTCCTATAATTTCTGGAAACCTCTCAAGACTAGAACAATGTGAAAGTTCAAGTTTTTCAAGAGAAGTCAACTTCAGGGGTGGAAAATTCCTAAGCTTGATGCAACCAGAAGCTTCCAATATCCTCAGTTTCTCCAGCAAACCAACCGAATTATGAACTCTAACTAAATTTACACAATTTTGAAATGAAAGTTCCTCCAAATTTTGGAGATCAGATACGGCATCAGGTATCTGAGTTAAACCTTCACAGCAGTCAAAATTCAAAACCCGTAGATTCCTGAGCTTCTGCAAAGAAAAGGAGAGAATACAAAGAAGGAAGGTGTGAGTAACCTTAAATGACATAAAGAGACTATGGGGTAACTTGCAAGACGTGGAGAGTGTACAATGTAAACTTGCCTTGCTTAATCCATCCATCTCAAATGACATAAAGAGACTATGGGGTAACTTGCATATTGCAAGCTGTTTTGGTTGAAAATAAGATGGTAAACAATGTGAAGGATATCTCCACCATTCCAACACTCTCAAACTATTTGGAAAACATTTGGGATCATCAGAAAATATTCCACTTCTAATAATAAGTGTTTTGAGGTTTTGCATCTTCTGGAAAGCCATCCCATTCCATTCTACCATTTTCTTTTCAAACAAGGGGAAATCCAGACATATGATTTTAATTTCACTTGTTCCCTGTGAACGTAGAAGGCTTGAATCAGGCAAAAATTACAATGCAAGTATATACAAGACTTAAATACATTTAGAAAAAGTTCACTCACAGTGTTGTCTTCCAAAACTTGGATTATATCTTTTGGTGACCATAACCTACTGCGCTTCCCTGGTTCTTCTGGTGACTCTTGTCTGACAATTTCCTTACCCATGTCCTCTACCAAGTCATGCAATGTAACACAATCATACTGACCAATCTTTATGAGAGATTTTTCAGCCAACACGCCAATATGATATTTCATACAAGCACCATGATGAGCATGAAGTATATCTTCAACTTCGGTTAATTTATATCCTTTGAAGCAACAAGAAATGTCAAGAAAAACTCTCTTCTCTTCTTCCTGCAAAGCATCGAAGCTTACTTTAAGAGTCTCTTGGATTCGATTGTTTGGAATTCTTTTATATTGATCTATGACAGATTTGCATTCTTGTATACTTTTTCCACACAGGTTGGCACCTATTACTTCCAAAGCCAATGGAAGGCCACAAGCATAAGTTACTGCACGATTAAGCACCTCCTCGTATTCTGGATAAACTTGTTCTGATTTGAAAACTTTCCATGTAAGCAATTGAAGAGCATGGTTCTTATTTAATTTCTTCACCTTATATGTTTTTTGAACATTATGAGATGCCAGCAGTTGTTTGTCCCGAGTGGTGATGATGACTTTGCTTCCAGGACCAAAACAGTCAGGCCTTCCAACAAGTGTCTGCAACAGCTCATGTTTGTCAACATCATCTAAAATCAAAAGAAGCCTCTTGTTTTGGAGCCTGTGTTGTATCATTGAAATTCCTTGTTGCTCACTTGCAAACATAATTCTCTTATCTCCAAGTATTTCGGAAAGAATGATGCTTTGAAGATGTTCCAATCCGTGTTTGCGTGATTTCTCTCTCACATTTTGAAGAAAACAGGAACCATCAAAATGGCTAGCAATCAAATTATAAACTGCTGAAGCAAGTGACGTTTTCCCTATCCCTCCCATTCCATAGATCCCTATCATGAGGACACCATCACTAGATCCTACATCCAAAAGCTTCATTACTTTTAACTCTTGTGAGTCTAATCCAACCGGGTAATCCGCCACATGTAAAGGAGTACGATTAATCTCACTAGAGACCCACTCAACAATCTTCCCAATAAACTTGTATTCATATCCTTCTCTGTTCCAAACACAAGTTTAAGAGCTATGTTTGAATGAATTTCTAGAAAAAGAAAATAAGAAAGTACAACGAAATAAACTTCTCTATAAATTAAAACAATTTATGTATAAGATTTGTAAAAGTTTCTCATTGAACTTTCCCAAAATCAGATTTTGAACTTTTGTATAAGCTAGTTTTAACTCAGTGAGAACGTTTTTCTTCATTTAAAAGTGACTAGGGAGAGATTAAGCTGAAAAGCCCTTAAGCAAGAATAAAAAGTTGTCAAGGTTAGCACTAATCTATATTCTCTTTAGATCATAGGAGCAGTGAAACTTAATGAAACAAAGAATGGAATAAAAAATTGGTGAGGTGGGTACCCATATTTGTAATGAAAGCCAGACAAGTTAGCTACTTGATGAAGAGCCATCTTCCATTTCTCCAACTTCTCCATGTGATGGTTTAACCTCTCCTTATTATCAGCTTTGAGCCTTTCCTCATGCCAAGCCAATGCTTCGCCAAAACTTCCTTTTTGGTGCCTCACAAAAGAAGGATCCACGTCATAAAAAACTGGCAAAACCAGCAACTTTTTTTCCTCAGCACGTTCAAGGATGTAAACCAGTTCATCTAAACAAAATGAAGAAGAAGCATAGGTGATAGAAAGCACAGTGATGGCAATCATGGACCCTTGAATTGCCTTCACAAGTGTTGGTGCAAGTTCATCTCCACCCCGAATCTTCTTGTCATCAATGAAAGTGTGGATTCCCCTGTCATCCAGAGCTTTGTAGAGATTGCCAGCAAAACCATAGCGTGTGTCTGAGCCTCTGAAGTTGAGGAACACATCGTAGGTGAATTCTTGGGAGTGCGATCTTACAGCCATGAACAAAACATATTCCGATTGCGGTTGACTTGTTAGGGCTCTCGAAAACCAAGCCTGAACTGATGATGAATATGAAACTGATAATAGGAAAGTCTTAACGCGGAAATATCTCCTTTTTCTTTCTCCATTTTCAGGACACCTTCGTGGACAGGCATGTTGAAAACTTGATACTTTGACCGATATAAACTTTTTTATTAATTTGACACTGTTATTTTTTATTTATTTCTTTTAAAATATTAAAACTAATATTTTTATAACTATTTTTTAGCTTTACAGTTAAATAAATGTAAAAGTATGTTACGATATTATTAGTATGATAGACAAAAGAGTAACATTATTTTGATACGTAAAAAATTTTACATACACTTTAAATTTATTATTTTATCTTTTAATCTCTTTTCTTTTTATAAATAAAAAAATTAACTTTTTTAATGACTAAAGTAACTTAAAAATAGATTGTCAAATAGTGTATATAATATAAAAAAAATTCTAGATAAAATATTTTTTTATGTTTGAAAATATTTTATCTTATTGACCATTTAAAATTTTTGCTTTGAGTATTTCTGGTTTGATTAATCCTTAAATTAAATGAAGTTATATGATTGTTATTTACTTGTGGATTTATAATATTTGTATACAATTAAGTTATATATACTAGAGTACATAACACAAGAATGAATAACTTATCTTCTCTAGATATGGACTTAGGAAGATTTCTATTTGTTGTTGAACATTAATTACATTTAGTTTAAGTTTAACTTTTGATAGTTGGTTTTGGATTGTTTTTTAGATTATTTAGTACTTTGTTAACTTGAAACCCATAAAATATATTATATTTTTCTATGATGGGACAATTTTATGTTTTTCAGGTGTGATTTTATTGTAAAAATAAATTAATTTAAAAAAAAACACCCAGTAGACATATGTTATGGACTGTCTGACGTCTATTGATGTCTGTCAATACACATATAGACATCTAATGGCTTATAGTGACAATTCTAGAGGTGGTGCAGTCAGCGTATTGGACGTCGGCTGTTGGGTCTGACATCTCTATAAACGTCCAACTTGAGCAGTCTGACGTCTCTATAGACGTCCGACCTCTGCAGACCGACGTTTATATAGACGTTTGGCTGTAGGGTCTAACGTCCCATTGACGTCAACCAATAAGACGTTGGAGAGGGGTCAAACACCAAAAACCCCCGACGTTAAAGGCCTTTTCTGCACTAGTGTTAAAGTATTGATATCCCCTTTAACCAACGAAAATAAAAATAAAACAAAATTTAATGGCTATGAAATATAAAAATAACATAGATATCTACTAGTTAAGAAAAATGACAATGAACAAAGATTTAAAAATTATGAGAAACCTTCATATAATAACTTTTATAATGATATCATTAATATAAATATCTAGTTTCATTAATAAACGAAAAAAAAGTGTTTTTAAAGATACAATAATAATTTAGTCTAGCATATTTTGTTTTATCCAAGATTTAAAATAAGAAAAAATGAAAATGTGTAACAATTAAATGCATTATTTTCTTTTTCTCAAACTTGAAGAGAGAGAAAGAAATGAATGTGCCCTCCCTTTTTGCAAAATTAATGGAATGAACTTGATTGGTACAATTTAAAGACTAAATAAATAATTAAACTTAAAATGCATTTAAAATAATTAAGGGAAACGGTGCAATGTTATTGTCTTCCTCCAGAGTTGCAAATAAACATACAAGAAATAATGTAGTAAGCTAATATGCAAAAGAGTTTTCATAAAACAAACATAGAAATATCATCATACATNAAAACATATTCCGATTGCGGTTGACTTGTTAGGGCTCTCGAAAACCAAGCCTGAACTGATGATGAATATGAAACTGATAATAGGAAAGTCTTAACGCGGAAATATCTCCTTTTTCTTTCTCCATTTTCAGGACACCTTCGTGGACAGGCATGTTGAAAACTTGATACTTTGACCGATATAAACTTTTTTATTAATTTGACACTGTTATTTTTTATTTATTTCTTTTAAAATATTAAAACTAATATTTTTATAACTATTTTTTAGCTTTACAGTTAAATAAATGTAAAAGTATGTTACGATATTATTAGTATGATAGACAAAAGAGTAACATTATTTTGATACGTAAAAAATTTTACATACACTTTAAATTTATTATTTTATCTTTTAATCTCTTTTCTTTTTATAAATAAAAAAATTAACTTTTTTAATGACTAAAGTAACTTAAAAATAGATTGTCAAATAGTGTATATAATATAAAAAAAATTCTAGATAAAATATTTTTTTATGTTTGAAAATATTTTATCTTATTGACCATTTAAAATTTTTGCTTTGAGTATTTATGGTTTGATTAATCCTTAAATTAAATGAAGTTATATGATTGTTATTTACTTGTGGATTTATAATATTTGTATACAATTAAGTTATATATACAAGAGGACATAACACAAGAATGAATAACTTATTTTCTCTATATATGGACTTAGGAAGATTTATATTTGTTGTTGAACATTAATTACATTTAGTTTAAGTTTAACTTTTGATAATTGGTTTTGGATTGTTTTTTAAATTATTTAGTACTTTGTTAACTTGAAACCCATAAATTATATTATATTTTTCTATGATGGGACAATTTTATGTTTTTCAGGTGTGATTTTATTGTAAAAATAAATTAATTTAAAAAAAAACACCAAGACATATGTTATGGACTGTCCGACGTCTATTGACGTATGTCAATGCACATATAGACATCTAATGGCTTATAGTGACAATTCTAGAGGTAGTGCAGTCAGCGTATTAGACATCGGCTGTTGGGTCTGACATCTCTATAGACATCCAAATTGAGCAGTCTGATGTCTCTATAGACATCCGACCTCTGCAGACCGACGTTTATATAGACGTTTGGCTGTGAGGTCTGACGTCCCATTGACGTCAACCAATAAGACGTTGGAGAGGGGCCAAACACCAAAAACCCCTGACGATAAAGGTCTTTTTTTACACTAGTGTTAAAGTATTGATATCCCCTTTAACCAATGAAAATAAAAATAAAACAAAATTTAATGGCCACGGAATATAAAAATAACATAGATATCTACTAGTTAAGAAAAATGACAATGAACAAAGATTTAAAAATTATGAGAAACCTTCACATAATAACTTTTATAATGATATCATTAATATAAATATTTAGTTTCATTAATAAACGAAAAAAAAAGTGTTTTAAAAGATACAATAGTAATTTAGTGTAGCATATTTTGTTTTATCCAAGATTTAAAATAAGAAAAAATGAAAATGTGAAACAATTAAATGCATTATTTTTTTTTCTCAAACTTGAAGAGAGAGAAAGAGATGAATGTGCCCTCCGTTTTTAATGGAATGAACTTGATTGGTGCAATTTAAAGACTAAATAACAATTAAACCTAAAATACATTTAAAATAATTAAGGGAAATGATGCAGTGTTATTGTCTTCCACCAGAGTTGCAAATAAACATATGAAAAATAATGTAGTAAGCTAATATGCAAAAGAGTTTTTATAAAACAAACATAGATATATACTAAAATCAATTATCCGCACATAAATATTAATGTGAAATCTTTGCATTTATACTTACCTCTACTATTATAGAGAACTATTAATGGGTTTTACCTACCACGTAAAAGTTAATCTATTATCTTTGGACAAGGTCAATTATATAT